ATTTCGTCCACTTGGTTTCTTTTGTACTACTAATCATCATTATTCATGATTTATCTACTCACCAACATTTTAACCTAACTTTTATTGCTTGTCTTAAATATTCACCTTCTAACTAATTCTCATCAGTACTAATAAGATTCCTTAAGTCCCAAGGTAATGCTACTTTACCACTTGTCTCATCAGTACTAATATTTACCTGTCTCACCTATCTAAAACTAAACATATATTACCACTTGTCATATACTTCATTTCTAATGTTATTTCTCCCATTTATTACATTAGACAGTCCTACACTCTAACTCTGGTTGAAATCTAGCTTCTAAACTAGAATTGTCTCCTCAAACCTTTCCAATGTTTATGTTCTTACTTAGCCACTAACTGTCTACTTTACTTAATATCATCATCACCACTTGTCTATTCTTCTTTTCCAAATCTTCTTTAAAATTTTATTATCCTCGCAATCATTTCATTTTATGATCTAATCTTTTATTTTTATTTTATTTTTTTTTTATTCCTCACCAATCTTATTCTTCTTTTCCAAATCTTCTTTAAAATTTTATTATCCTCACAATCATTTCATTTTATGAGCTGATCCAATTGGCCCCGTGATATAAATAGACAACCTTCACAAATAATTTTTCTATATAAATAATCAATTTCAAATTATTTATCATTACACAATTTTGAATTCAAAATTAAAATGGGTTTTAAATTTAAATATCAAATATCAAGTAAATAAAACAATAAAATGATTATCCTTTGAATAAATTCTAAAGAAATTCAGTAGCCGTGCTGAATACTAAAATACCGATTCCTAATTACCCAAAGTTCATCAATGCGCTGTACAAATGAAAAACCTATTTACTCTCTACACTATCCTATTCACTGACAGGAATAGAGCTCACATGAAAAGTAGTGTACTGGGTGATCAGGCCAATCCACTACCATCAGGTATTACTCTATTATTACTCTTATTCCTAGCCTAAGGGTCGAAATACCAACTCTAGCCCTTATAGGTAATTGCGATGGATTATGCTTATTGTCTACTTTCACTTTCGACCTCTTAAAAATTACTTCCTCACGTAATCATAGATTCTCACGCAATAAGTGTGGATTTTCCACCTCATAGGGTCCTAGTGCGTCCACCATCCTAGGGAGGGAAAATCACAAGGTTTCTTTCCCATGTTGGTTACGGCCGTCCCAACATAAAGAAATTTCCCTAATAACTCCGCAGTTGTGTCGCTAAAAACCCCTAACCCTAAGCTCTGAATCCAACTTTTGGTTCAAGCGACCCGATTCCATGGGCCGGACCGTCGTCACGACCCGTTTCCGTGGGCCGGACCAGCACTAGGGCCCAGGTAAGCTTAAGGCGTAGTAAGCCTGAAACACTAGAATCTATTATCTCGGTATAAATTTCAACATTCAGCCCATATGATTATGAAAAATAAACCTCAACATTTTATTAGTTTTCAGCCCAAGTTTATCTTCTACAGCATTCTATAGTTCGGGCCCAGTTTACAAATACATCACATTCTAATATGGCTTACAGAATTATTTTGTCTATGTTAATTCACGACTAAATATATGTAAATCCTACAACTGCGGAGTCACTAACCCTTTGGTATACATAGCTTTTTATACAAATAATTACATAGTGAAATAATTATGGAACTAGGAAAATTTCTCTATTGCCCTGCGCCGAAGACACATAGCCTAAATCGGATTAAAGAAAAACTTACTTTCCTGAAAATTCAAATAAGACATGTGAGTTTTCTAAGGAGAATAAATTATTGCACAAACAATAATTATTGCACAACACACGCAGTCACACAAATATGTAAACATTTCAATCTAGTCATCCGACTAGTTATATGCTCACGCAGCCAGTCACACAAATTACACATACCAGCACTCACACGTAATGTCACTTTCAAGTAATCAAGCAAGTGGTAATTAGTCAGTGGCACCACTTGAAACCCAAACGAGCCGTCCTCACACATGGCTCGCCCTCTCGTACATGTGCACTAGGGAGCCGATCCCCCATACGGCCAACTGGTCTAATGCTCACTGACCAGTCCTCTCATTGTTTTTCCAGTCTCTCGTTTCTTTTCCATATCAACAGGAGGCAACCCGGTGGTCTCCATCCAATCTAGATTATAAGTCTCACAAACAGGAGGCCACCCTGCGGGCTACAACAAATCTAGATTATCAGGTGCGCACAACAAGTAAGCCATCCTGTAAATCCCCATATAATCTATATCATTCAGTGCACAAGGGGGCGCCGATCTCCCATTTTCCCGGCCGACGGGTCAAGTATCATATCGTATTCAGGATCCATGATCAGCAGCCGTCCTCACCAAAAACCCATGGTTTGGTCCACTTCATCCCAATTCCAACAACAAAACAAAGCACCAGGCATTTTCACAACACAATTAATCAAACATTGCAATCAAATGCAAGGACATATTGATCAGTTGGACATTCATTCTCAAATGCAATTTTAAATAGCTACAATAATTACCATTAACAACAAACAACAACATAAAATCAATGATAAGAATAACAGTACAATGAAAATAATTTAACATCTTAAATAAATTAAAGATGGAATAATAAGGAAAATAAATAAATAATTAGACGCAACCTGTTTACTTATGCATTAGGTTATAGAATTAAATCTTAAATAAACTGGTTTTAATTATGTTATTAATTTTAAAACTTAGTTCAAGTTTCTAACGGAAAATTTCGGGCAGCACCTCCCTATAATTTGGACTATTCCACCTGTTTGATAACACGTAGCTGATATATATTTTTCAATCAGTACACACAAGCCCCAAATTCCCATCGGGGCAATCATCAATTTAAGACCCCATCCTCCTCCCCAAAACCACGGATGACAACACTTCAACCATAGGTTCACAAACAATTATGGTTAATGATAATGACCAATTATCTATATTTACATCACTATAATTATAACTAGCTAGTATAGCTAATTACCAAACAAATGAAAGCAACAAATGAAAGCTTTAATACATATATAATCGAATAAAACTTATATCAGTAAGTTAATTTCAATTACTTTCATTTCTTCATTCTTGCTTAAAGCTAATACGTCACATTTTTTATACCTTTGTTAAATTTTATACTAGCCAATAAGAACAAATGCTTCAATTAATTATAATTTAATGAATACATCTACTAAGTAACTCGACTCGCCCTTATGTATATAGATATAAATATATATCAATTCTTATAACTAGTTTATCTAAATGTTCGCAATTATTCAAAATAGTTGTTGTTCAGCAAAATAGGTCATTCTCACCCTAGCTCATATATGATGTATGAATCAATTCATTCAAATTTTCAATTTAATTAGTTTAGAATTTATACCAAAAATAGGAAATTGGTCTTAGAATGTACCAATTGAAATTTGAGCGACGATTCCACGATCCTCGCGAAGAGAGGAACATTCTGTCCCTGGCACCTTGCCGGAGACTCGCCGGATCGTCGCCGTCTACGGTGGCCGGAAAAGTTGGGGCCACCCAGAATTGACCCTTCTTCACGTCACCCCACTCAAATTTCATCGAGGAGTCCGTTTTTGATGTCGGTTGTGCGGGCACCCAGAATTGACCCCTTCTGTCAGGCGCCCCCGCACTCAAATTTCATCGAGGAGTCCGGTTTTTGATGGTCGGTTGTGCGAGGTTGCCCTCCCATTTGCGTGGAATTAGGTCCGACAGGTAGCTTTGTGCCGCCGATTAATTGGTGATTCGCCTTTCAAGCTTTGTAGCCGGGATATTAATGGAGAGAAACACTCACAAGGTGGAGGTGATCGATCGACGCCTGCCTTTCGTGTTGAACGTCTGCCGGAATTGCTCGATTCTCGTCGGGAAATCGAAGAAGGAGAATGTCGAATGGAGACCAGTCCCGCTTCGCGTCACTGAGACCTCTTGCCAGGTGGTGGAAGGAGGTCGTGAAAACGGACCAGGAGCTCTAGCGGCAGACGATCGCCATCTCGCTCTCGTTCGAGCGGTGGCCGGAAACGGAGGGAGAGGGTGAGGGAGGCTGTCGAACGCCCTGAAGAAGGAGAGGAGAAAGAAAAGGAAAAAGGAAAAAAAAAAGTAGGCGGTTTCTAGCAAACTCTAGGCCATTCCGGTTCGAGTCAAACCGGTTTGGTCCGATTTAGTGGTTGGTTTTTCTCATTTTCGCCCTGTGATTTTCAAGTTTTCCCTCGGTTCTCGGATTATTTGGGTGGTTCTCGGCAAATTAAACTATTTTCGGGGCGCTGATTCAGATTTATTTTAACGCGGTTTTGAATTCGGTTTCATAATATTTCTCCAGTTTACTCAATAATTATAAAATTATTTATGGAGAACGATATTTTGATGTTAGGATAATTGATTTTATATATAGTTTCATAATAGATTAAATTACGGGCGCGTTCGTGATTGATTCTTCAAAAATTTTGAACCGTTTACGATTTCAAAATTGTCTTTTCGATATTTGTATGGGCTGTGGGCCTGGACGTGCGTAAAATTTGGGCTCGAATTTGAGGATGGTTTTGGGGTATATGATTGATAGCCCATTAGTTGAAAATCGAGATTTTTGATTTATTAAAAAATTCGGAAAGTTTTCAAAAAGAAAAAATTCGGTGGTCTCAAATTCATAAAGGAAGAGAGATTCCTCTATCCCAGGTCCAATGTAATTTTAGCGCTTGGCCAGATCATTCCCACGAGCTGGAATGTTCATGGCCAAATCAGAGATAAGCATCGAAAAAGAAATAAAATAGATTTCTGATAAGGGCCCAGATGAATTACCACCCATAACATGAGATGATCAAGAAATAGGATGTTGATTGATTAAGCGATACGTAGTAGTAGTATATAGTATAAATATTATATTAAATATATTTATTCAACTAAAAGACCAACCGGACAAAAACAAGAGCACTTGTACATATTAGTATATATATATAAATATATTTATTCAACTAAAAGACAACCGACAAAACAAGAGCATGTACATATAGGTTTCAAAGCATAAAAAGCCAATTTACAAGCAACCATAGAGCTGGAGACCATTTAAGTGATGATCGCCATTTCATTAAGAGCAAAGTTTTAGCAATCAAATTTTTGCAGTAAACTTGAGAAGTCAATCCCTTGTGCTGTTCTTTAGCCATTCCAGGTATGGAATGCTGCCTCCAGTAATCGGCAAAGAGATTACTTCCGGTACCCTGACAAAAGGAAAAGAGCAAAGAGTTACAAGCCCAGGATAATAAAATTGCTAAAAGCTGTCATAACTTCATTTTCATTAATTTATCTCCACTATTTCTAATCAAATTCTTCTCAAACTGAAAGGAAAGCCAACTGCATTGATCCTACTAAATACCATGCCAAATTTCTACATTCTTAGTTGGATTCAGATGTTTAAACCCATTAAGTTAATCTGCAATGCCTTCCACATGTATCACTCACTTAACATGCAAATCAAATCTTCCAAGAGGAATTTATTACTTATTAAACGTTATACATACTCGTATTCATGATTTGCCTTGACATGCTCTGTCAATGCTTCCAACAGAGATTGCCTAGTCTTAATTATAAGCAGTTCCTCTGAATCTGTCTGGATCTGCAACCAGTGTAGGAAAGAAGCGATTTTAGCTTATTTGCATAAAGGCTTAGATGCACAGAAGATGTAAAACTCGAGACTAAAGAAATTTGAAGTTCATAGTCTTCTTTGCTTTTGAATTGATTTTCATTAGTTAGGGAAAATGGATTCATACCTCTCCTTTCCACTCATATACTGACTCAATACCTGCATTTTGGTATATTTAGGCTTCATCAAACATTAATTTCACAAAGATGTTTCGGGTTAGGACATTCTCAATGCAACAGCTGAAGTAGAACATATAAATGTAAGATTATCCATAAACAAGAGTAACAGAACAATGGGAATGAATAGCTATATTAGGCTTGAAAACAACGTCGTCTTAGAGTATTTCCCCTTCGTAAGAAGATAACTACATGAAGATTGATCCTAAAAGATAATACTAATACTTTAGTTGGATGCAACTATATTAAAAACTGAGGTGGATGCAAGAAGATACAAAATTATAATTAAAAAAAAAAAAAATCATAGGCCAACAAAGGTGCTAATGCAAAGGTAGGTAACGAATAGAAAGAATGAGCACATGCCTGGGACTATGTTCACACATGCTGCTAATTTCTCTTTGACAATGCTTTGAGCCAACTTCTTTCCTGAAAGCATAAGCATACTCATAATTTCCAACAATCATAAATAAAACATCATATGAAGTGTTCCAAAATGAAATACAAACCCAAGAATGGCTGAAATTAAAATCATCGAAACATTTTTAACCACACAAAACTAGGAAAAAGTATCCAGAGTTCTAACCCAAAGTATGAGAGTGTAATTCAATTTATTGTGATCCGAATACCAATAAGTTACTGAACAAAAATCAAAATTAAGCATCTAATTTAAATCCTTAAACCCTAGTAAGAAAGGAAGCCTTATACCCAGAAAAAAAACAAGGGACAAAGAAAGGAAAAGGAAAAGGAAAACTAACCAGCTTCTCTATTAGGCACAGTGACGTAAACAACAATACTGGGTACAGTGTTGCCACTTCCTTCCATTCTGACAGTACTAGCTCGCGATTGGGTACCAAACTTTGATCTAATGAACGATGTCCACCAAAATTCAGTAAATTTAACTCAATTTAATAAGGAAAATAATCAAGATCCAATCTTTGTTCTTTTAAGAAGAAACAGAATCGAAAGGGTTTACCTTAGTAGAGGTACAAAGGGGAGAGACTGAGCGCAACCCGTCTTGAGGGAAGAGGAGAGCGGGGTACACAGATTAGAGAGGCCCAAACTTAACATGCAAAACGCCCCGACTAAGGGCAAACGCCGTCGTATTGTTGAAGAAGAGAAGACGGATCTTGTTGAGCAGAGCACTGAAGCCATTTTTGGTTTATATAGTTAGTTAATACTGTGAGATGGTTTCATTTGCTTCCATTAGAGTTTTGGTTTGATACTCTTACCACCTAACAAAGACACGCAAAAAAATTCCAAGTCTGAAATGGTTGTTTCATTTAACAGTTCTGAGACAGCATTAGGCCTTCTTCTTTGTGATTGCCTTGTCCTGTTTTAGGCCCATTAAGCCCATCTTTTTGTATAATCAACCCCAATTTCAGTTATTGTTAGTAGCTTCCTTCTGCCGATTCAGAAAGTCCGATGAACTGCTAATTCTATCGAGCTTTTCTTTTATTAAATGTTAATTGATTAGTAATTATGTTACATTTATACTATATTAATCTTATAAAAATAATAACTATTGATTTTTTCTTCAAATTAATTTTTTTATTTATTTAACATATTAAAAAAATAATATATTAAATTAAAATTAAATGAAGCCTATAGTTGAATGGATGTTTTTCCAATTTTAACCCACCTTTGTAATTAATATAATCTAATCTTCAGAATAAATTAATCAAGGATCAATACTGGAAAGCTAAATCTTTTTTACATGTATAAAGATGGAAAAAAAAAATAAAGAAAGAGAAGTTATTGTGCTTGTACATCTAATAAAGGATCAAGATCGAAATCTAAATCTTTTCTACATATAGCGGTGGAGGGAAAAGATAAACAAAGAAGAATTATTGTACTTGTACATCTTATGTGACTAAAAATATGTGTATGGTCAAATTTTATAATTCAAAAAATAAAAGCAGTTAGGATATATACTGATTTAAGAAAAAATGAAGTGTAAGACAATGTGCACCTCCTACAGAGATCTGAAATGTCACGAGCAAATTGCAACTTGCATTTTTTTTTTTTTTTTTTTGAAAAAATCAAAGTAAGACAAATGTCACCTGCCTACAGAGATCTGAAATGATCACGAGCAATTGCAACTTTGCCATTTTTTTTTTTTTTTTTTTTTCCTTTTCAAGCAAGGAAAACTATTTTGGCAAAAAATGTTAACGGCATTGCCTCTTTAATTCAATTGCAAACAAAAGAGTTGTTGCATATGTAACCAACCAGCTTTAGATTGGCAATTCTTCTCCTCTTCTCTTCTCTTCTTCCTCTTTTTTTTTTTTTTTTATTTATTTTTTATTTATTTTTTTTACGTAATAATAATAATAACAACAATGTATTATATCCTGACCTCTTCTCCCTGTCCATCGGTGTTCTTGTATATTTTTTTCTTCGAGTTAACGTCCACCATCTTTTATTAATGGAATATGACAATGTGACATGTTTGTCTATTAATATTCAGTATTAAAATTTTAAAAGGATAAAGTTGTAGAAAATTTCACTTAGTTGTATTGTTTGAAAGTATCTAATTTTTTATTTGCAAGTTTTATTTGAAATATTAATTTCTTCTATCAAGACTTCAAACAAAAAATTTAAATTTTCTACATTTATATTTATTATTCCTCTAAAAAAATTAAATGTACTCGTATTATATTATTTAATAATGAATTATCAATTTTTTATTATTAATAATAATAATAATAATAATAAAATATAAATAATAATATAATTAATTCGTTTTTATATATTCTATTATATTGATCTATTTGGTTCTTCCATAAATAATAATAATAATAATAATAATTAATTCGTTCTTATATATTCTATTATATTGATCTATTTGGTTAATTCCATAATTATGAAAATCACAAAAGCAAAAAAGAAATAAAAACCTACTGTAGATATCAAATTTCAAAATTAAGAGCCAAGAGGCTATGGACCAACTAAACCTTTTTTTTAATCTTTTTTTTCTCTTTATTATCACAATATTCTCGTATCTTTTGTATATAAAACTATTCTTATTTTAAGATTTGTGATTCGTCTTCAGGAAATATTTTTTTATCTAAATCTCTAATCTTATAGAGATAATTTCCTGAATTCAAATATATCTTACCACTAGAGTCATTTCTCGAGAGTTTAGCCTTTAAAATTAATGTTTGCTATCATTATTAATTTAAATAAATTTCTTTAGCCAGTGAAAGTTTTTAAGGTATTGAACAGTCCATTTTAATGATCTAACGTTGGACAAATTCCAGTAATCGAAGTGAAGAGTGAAGACAGAAAGTTTTGACAAGGAAGGACACAATACATGATATGAGTGAATAGGCAATGTGTAATGGAAACAAAGCAGGCAAAGGCAAAGACAAGCTAACGAAATAGAGGGATTTTGGAATTATTGATTAAAGAATGCCATTAATTGGTCCTTTTAATCACCATAACTCTTTGCCAGCTTGCTTCCTATGGCCTTTTCCCATTTGTACTTTTGCCTGTCATCACCTACAACTTCAAATTTCAGATTTCAGAACTGCATTTATTTAACATACTTTAATACTCCTAACAACGACAGCTTCTTACTTACAAATTTCACTATTGCCTTCCTTCTTTCTATAATTTATTATTAATCCAGGAGTTTTGCAATTTGATATAGAAAAAAATTGCTTAAACTAGATTTATATCTCTACTTATGGGCCAAATAAATAAAATTAAATATTTTTTTTTTAAAATGTTCCGACTTTATGATTGTTTTCCAAATATATGATTAAAAATATCACCGTCTCAACATAAATATTTAATTTCATTGGTTTGGTTCATAACTGACCCGATTTAAATAAGTTTTTCCCATTTGATACCATATAATTCTTTTGTGAAATAATCTTTTCTTTTTAGATTTTTCACGAGTATTCCTATATTCTGTTCTTTTTGTGTAGGAGACCAATTTCATTTTGGAATTCATGAATTCTCCCTTTAAAAAATAATAAATGTTTTTCATAATTTAATAATGGAGTATGTATTTTATAAGCAGAATATATATATATAAGAGATCGAAACTTTAATTTATAATAATTTCCCTCTTAAAATAAATTTAAAAGAAAAAAATAAAGACAGAGATTAAGTCAAGAGAGGTGACTTTGCCAGCTAAAATAGATTTAAGATAAAGCACATACTTAATCAGAGATTTCAGAACGGTAATCACTTATCTGGATTTCAAGTTTCTAATTTTTGGATTGAGGTGGGGTCCAAATTATAGACAACAAGAAAATAAAATATTACAGAATAACACCAAAAGGAAGGGAAATGTGGACCCAAAACCAATCCACGTGTGTTTTATTCCTATTTTCTTTTTCAGTTTTTTTATGGTAGAGGAGAACCGGTGTTTAATAGTGGAGAGTAGACACCGGAGATATGGCGGATGTTATGGCTGTTTTTGACAGTGGACCACCGTGTTGGGAGATGTTGCACATGCTTAGGTGACTAAATGTTACAGGCTCAATGCAGAGTGTCTTTTTTTTTTTTTTTTAAATATAATCTTTAAATAAATTTGTTTTAATGAAATTAAAGTATGGGAAGGTGTTAAAATATTAAGGAGTGAATCTCAAGATTTTAGGTAGAGTTTATTAGATTTAATAAATGTGTTACATTTAATACATTCCACAATTTGGATTTTCTGATTCCATAATTTGTAGCTAGTGGTATATGAATACAAAAATTTTACTATTTCATCAAACCATATGAAAATTAAATAATTGCACCACTTGGATTTTTTTCACTTTATACTATCATGCTTAGCATGGATGTAAAGGTTTTTTTTATAAAATATTCAGCAAAAACATAAAGTTTTGGAAAGTGAAAGTCTATGGTTTCAAGATTCTTTAACAGCAAGGTTCCTAATGAAAATGGAGGGAAAATTTTTCAACTCATGAATGATATAGAAAAACTCATGAATCAAAAGAATTTTCAACTTTATGTATTTATCATGAGATAAATACTAAATTAATAAATTACTAATCTTTTATTAGAAAAATTGATCAGACCTAACCCGTTACTCACTCTTTAAAAAAAATCCAAACCATTGTGAGATAACATATCCCCAAAAGCCTACACATAAATATTTGAAGCGTGAAATTTCTAGGCAAATATATTTATGACCCAACATTTGAAATATGATAGGCTTTGATATCATATTATAAAATGCATGGAGTCTAACTCACTCTACAAATTTAACGCTAGGTCAATGAAAAGAGAATCGCTCAAATCTTATATTTTGAATAAAGACCTTAATCCAAATCAATGTGAAATAATAGTTTTTAATATAAAGATTGATATATGGCTTCAATTTATACTTCTTAATAAGCATAGTTTAGCTAGATTCAATCTATAACCAAAAACGAACATAAAGAATGGAAAATCTAACAGCTCACAGTGTCAGAATAAAAATTGAAAGGCTTAGTAGGCTTTTTCCCATTAGAAACAAGAAGCTTTTACATAGAAGGAATATGCCTGAAATTTTCTATGACACCAAACAAATGAAATGCAAGTGCCCCATATGAAGTAGGTTGATGAGGAATCCAGCATTACGTGTGATCATATGGTAAAGCCTGTGTTATATCTTTCTTTAGCTTTGTGTGGGAACAAACAAGATTCAGTCAAAACGGTCAATTGCTGAATGCTGGGTTAAAACTCTGGTCAATGTGCTCTCGCATATGACTGACCTCACATTGGGTTCCACTTTCTAGCAGTAAAAAAGATAAGACAATATCTAACAATGCTTGTCCGATGGGTTTTCTTTCCTCATAATTTTGTTTACCATTGTTCAGAATTATGGTAAAATAATAAAAATATGCAATTAACTTTTGAGTCTTTTATCTCAATGATTTTGAATTATCTCAATGATTTTAAATTAATAATAAAAAAATTACCAAGAATAGTCAAGATTTAGGTTAACGATAGTAGATGTCTGATTAAATTAAAAAATAAAAACAAATTTAAATAAAAGAAAAAGGAAGTAGTTGGTTAAAGAAATTGATAATGGGAGTGTGAATGACACTCTGTGAAGCTCGAATCTCAAGTGGCATGCATATATAACTATATAACAAAGAAGACTATCTCATAAGTTTTAAGACCAAAAATGGGAAGACCTCATTTGTTTCTTATTCTCTTTATCTCAATTAAAAATGCCAAACATGGTCTTTGAGATTAGCACAAAACTGACACCGTCCAAAGGGAAGAAATAAATAAATA